AAGATGAACTCACAGCATTTGCCAATGGATTGTATCTGTGGTGTGAGAAAGATGAATCAAGGACACCCATAGTTGTAAAATGAGTGAGTAGAAGGAAGGGTGCAGCTGCTGTCAGTGGAGATGGGGAGACTCTGGCAGGAGCATACTGAGGAGGGGGCATCACAGGCACTCAGTGGAGGAGATGTCTACTAGGAATGCAGGTGAGGGAGCTGGGGTGGAATTTGGACAGACAACTCCAGAGATTAGAGGAAAGGAGAAATAGACTGGGCAGGAGAAATAGATTTAGGAGCTCACACCATATAAACGATACTTAAAACCTCAAGCATGGATGAGGGCACCAAGGGAGTGATTGACTGTGGAAAAGAATGAGGGCAAGGACTGAACCCTGGACCTCCAGTTGTAAGGGATGTGATCAGACCACACCCAGAGCAGACTGCACAGTTCTGACCCCAAGTCTAGAGGACACTTAGACAAGGAACTTCCGTGTGTACAGGGATCACCTGAACGTGGTGCTGAGATCCAGGAAGTCTGAAGTCGAGCTACAGATTCTGTATTTATGACAAGGCTGGAGTTCATGTTGCTGTTCTCCAGATCACACTTGGAGTATCAAGAACAGCAGGATCCCACATGTCTGAGCATCAGCCTCACCTCTAGGGCTTGTTATATAAATCATTCCTTGGTCTTGTGCATAATACTCTGAGACAGGGGTTCTGGGGAGTGGCCTGAGTATTTTCTAAGCTCCCGCCAGCAATCCTGTTGCTCAGCCAGATTGGGAACCACTGAGATCAGAGATCAGAGAGTGGTCAGGGTGGGTGAATGGGGTGGATTTTCAAACCCTATTTAAAAGAGGATTTTCCTCACAGAAAGAAAAGGGAGGCTGTGTATCATCAGTTATGAGATGTGACATTCCCTGTTGTTCTCTCCACCATGGGGTAGAGGCCAGGTAGAGAATTCAGGATGTGGCTCTCGCACAAGGAACACCTGCGAATGCCGCTCTCTGACACTTGCCCACAGACTCATTTCCCACTCACTTCTTGGAGCAAACTATGGAAAACAAATTTCTGTAATGTACACATAAAGTCGTATATCTGGTATTGGGGGCTAGTTTTATTGTGGGGAAAGCCACAGAAGCAGGCTGGAACCTACACATCCAGGAACAGAATCCACAGCCCACCCTGGATCAAGTCCCTCCTGGGAACAACTGCCCCTGCTGCTGAGCACAGACGCTACTGCTAACACCTCTGACACCCTGGTGCTGGACACTGGACCCTGAGGCCAGGAGAGATGTCACTGCTGCACCTGGAAGCTGGATATCACTACTGTCACTCAGCCATCTTTACTAAAATGTGTTCTGTACAGTCCCAGCCTCTCTGTCAC